AGGAGGTCACATAGGCGGTTCCGCTGCTCCCTCACCAGTGGGAGCTCTGCGTCCCTAAGGGGGGAGAGGAGGTGTCAGTCACTATAGGACCACCCCAGACTCTGCACCAAGCCCCGCAAAGCAGAGCAGGAGGGGGTATCCATGCCTGGCACGAGTCAGCTCGCAGCCAAGCCAGCCGTGAATTCTTAAGTAGATCAGTAAACATCTCTTCTGATGTGAGACACCCCAAGGCTTAACACAGAGAACAAACTGTAGAGGGAGTCTCTGGCTGTAAAGTGTCCCTCTCCTTGAAGAAACCACCCCCAAATAAGGAGACACACAGGAGAACAAGAACTCCATCTTCAGTGACACACACGCACACACACACCCAGAAGGGTTGCTGAAGGCCTCACGGGACGTGGGCAAGGGCACAGAGCACCGGTCCTCCCTCGTCAGACAGGCTGCGGGGGAGCCGGGTCTGTGAGGAGAGCAGGAGCCCACCAGCCCCGGCCCAGGACACACACGCTTGGCAGAGATCTGACCAGAGCGCCTCTGGCTCAGATGTCCAGATGCAGAGGAGCAGCACAGGGCGAGAGCCACCTGGGCGAGAGAATGCAGGAAACAGAAGGAGAACCAGAGACCGCTGCGCCGTCCTCTGACAGAACGAGGTCATCACCTAGTGGGCACAAGAGCTCAGAGACCAGACACGACAATCCACAGATTCAGGGAAGGGCGGGGTATAAAGAGAGCCCGAAATGCAACAAGGACCAAGACTCAGACGATCAGAGGAGAAAGACAGGGATGTCCTCAGGTCCACTGGAGGCCCAATACGTGACCCACATACATTCCAGAAAGAAAGAGCAGAGCACAGTAGTTAGGAAATGACCACAGAAAGAAGAGAAGCCATGAATCCCCAAGCTGAAGGACAACACGTGACACATCACACGATCAGGGATAAAAAGAAGGGTTGGGAGCAGCTTCAGGGGGCAAGTTGTCCCAGAGAGCGGGGGGAGGGGGAGCAGCGAGGCACAGGGGTGGGAGCCGTCCACACAGTGGGGGACAGTGAGGGATCCACACAGAGGGGGTGGGGGGAGTGAGCCACATGGGAGGGGATTGGGGAGACGGGGTTGGGGAAGTGAGCCACCCACATGGAAGAGGTTAGCCACATCTGGAGGGGTGGGGCCGAGGAGGGATCAGGTGGGGGGTGAGCCATCCACTTGGGGCCACAGCTCAGAGTGGTGAGACCAGCCAGGATGGCATGAGCAGAGGCCATGGAAACAGTATGGCCCTGCTCACCCAGTGCCTGGGAGTGATGCATCCCCAGAGACCCAGGAGGCTTGTGCCAACTCACCAGACTGTTTCCCCAAGCACAGTCATGACCTCATCCAGAGCCTGGTTGCCTGTGACCTCCTCACCATAGGTGAGTACCATTTCATACACGTGGCTGGCCGTGGTGTTCCGGATCTGGGGCAAAACCAGAGGGGATTAGTGATGAAACTCCCAAGGGTCCCGAGAAAGGGGAGAGGAGCCTGCTCCAATGGGCTGCACGCCTCGATTCAGTTCTGTACAGACTCTGAAAGGTGCACCCATGCAGCCAGCC